TCCCACCACCGCCCTGCACACCCTGCCTGCCCCGGGCCCGTGGGGACGGCCACCCACCGCTGGGCTCCCGCTGCTCCCTCAGCATTGGCAAAGCACAAAAAAGTGATGTCGGATTTCAAAATCTCTCAAACGAAGCTTTTACAGCGCCTTTTCAAGGCAATGTGACTGGATTACGCGTGTTCCCGGGGTCTGCGTTCGCCACCCTGTTTAGGTAACATCCATGATTTATGTGCGGGTTATGTTTCGCCCCGTCAGAATAAATGCGGTGGCGTGTGTAAGAGGCTCACTGCTCCTCTGATGAATGCTGTTAGGAAAAGCTGTAAATAACAGATCTGGATGTTTTGGGGGCAAAAACCAAAGCACCCCTCACTCTTGTGTTGCACCAGGCAGACGGTCCCTTTGGCAGCACGGTCCTGTCTCAGTGCTGTTACTAACGCAGGGTCCAGGTAGTGGGTGTGCCTTTAGATTTGGGTCCAGGTTTGGGTGGCGGACACTGTGGCCAACAGCCCCATGACCCGCATCCAGCTGCTCATCGGCGTAGGGTCCCCTGCTGTGGTCTCCAGGCGGTGCTGGGGCTGTGGGGTCCCGGATGACGAAGCAGTGATGCCCGTCCCTGGCAGCCTTGGGGATACTTAGGCAAGGGTGGTGTGGGAGAGGATTTCTCACCGTGAGCATCATCGTTTCGCTCGTGGTGGCTAAAAGGGCTTCTTTCTGATGGTCTGTGGCTGGGCGAAGTCAAGAGGATGCTGCTGAGTGAAGGGAGTAACTCCGTATTTGCCGCAGATTCGCGCTTTGAATGGAGGAAAAAACAAAAAGGGAGCAATGTCTGCTGGTTCTGAAAACTCTGTTATTATGAGCCTTTGTGAAATGCAGGCTCATTTTTTAAAATTATAACAAACGGCATCCTGGCTATGTTTCTAGCAGCTATATCAAAGAGTAACTGCACTTCGCATTTAAAGCTATTTTGAAAGAGATCACATGTAATAGGTATTAGGATATTAAGAGTGTGTATGTGCTTTTTGCTTTTTAATTTACACATCCAGCTTTCCATTTCTGGGATGCCATTAATGTTCTTAGCCCAGAATTACTCTGTTTAAAGAGCTAGGTTTTCTTAGCCCTTGCGACAACGTGGGCTTTATGAGATTTGAGTGGGCAAATCTCACCAGCGCATTTTCACTGTAAGAGCTTTTGTTTCGAGGAAGGCATTGGGTGGCTCAGATCTCACGAATATGTTAAGTTGTCTTATTTTGAGATTAAAATAGTTAGCAGTTCAGGGGCTGCTTTCTTCTTCGTTCTTTAAGCGCAAGACAAAATACAGGGGAAGCGGCACGGTTTATTCAAATAGATGTGACATGAAGTGTCTTGCAAACTCACCCCTACATCGAGCAGTGCCATCGCAGGATGATTTCTGATGACTCATCAGATCAGATAATCCGCAGCCTGTGGATAAAAGGGGAGGCAGGACTCAGTCTCAGAACCAAGCCCAGAAAGCCATGCATGGAGGAATGCAAAATGTGAGGTCAATGTTGGATTAAAGGTAAGACCTGAAAACAGCACAGCAATGTGCTGCCCCCCAGCAGGGATTTTTAGGCCGGGATTTTTGAAAGGACCGACAAGATGTTCAAAGGGAGTAGAGTACTACACCCCCGAGGGAACCTTCAAAAATCCAAACTTTAGTAGTTTTGTTGGACACTGCATTCATGAGAGATTCTGGCTGAAGAAGTGTGTTTTGATTGCAGAGTAGCAGTTTTGCCTGTTTACGTCAACCTTTCCTACATTTTTAGAGGGGGAAGTTCTGCTCCTGAATAAGTAAATGTCATACATGGCCCAGAATGGATGAGATTTTCTCCATCCCTGAGAGCCAGGATGCCGCACCCAGGAGCCGTGTCCGTGGGCAGGTTTTCAAAGGCCCCTCCGACCGAGTCGTGCTTCTGCTCCTGTAGCTTTGCACTCACAAGTGCCGGTGCATGTCTCACGCTGCGACTTCTTGGGTGCACCAGGGAAAGGCACCGAGGGGCTTTTGCCAGGGGTTTTGTGCACGTGTCGTTGGAAGCCTTACGCTGAAGATGTTGATTTCTATTGGTACTTGCTTGTACAGTGCAAAGTTAGTAGCCCCAGAAGTGTGTGAGGTGCTTTGTGGAGAAGTCATCCTGCTACAAAAGCCCTTGGCGTGGCTATAGCTCGGCCTGTCTCGGGATTCAGCGTGAACCAATTGATATATTCTGCCAAATACACAATGAACATGCAGAGTTGACTGTGCACCAGTGTTTCCTCCTAGCTTTTGAAATGGCAGCCGTTAACTTTCTGTGCTCCCAACAAAATCAAAGCATCTTGTAATCCCTCGCTTGTTTTTAAGTGACAGTAGTCCTCTGTGCCCTGACAAATATTGCCAGCAGAAGCCTGGTAGCTCCAGACAAAGTCCTTTGAAAGAGGTGGGAGGGGAGGGAGGCTCCGCAGGCAGCTTTCCAGCGGCAGCTGTGCACTAACGGCATGGGAGTGTGGGAGGCTTCTCCCGGCTTAGTGAGACAGTTCAGCAATGCAGTGAATGTGTGCTCCCAGTGCATGACTCCTATTTACTTTTTTTTAATTCTCTGACCTCTGTCTGACCAAGTCCATTGCCCGTATGCAGCTGGACGGGGGGAGGGAGCAGCAGCCGGGCTGTACCAGGGATCTCGCTGCGCTCGGAGAAACGCGCGGCACTCCCCCGGGGGAAGCGTTTCCAGCAAGTAACAAGGTGGCGAATTTTCCTTCTTGCTGAGCAAGTTATTTGGAGGTGGGTCTTATTTTCAAGTACCATCTCTCGCTTCACAGGGAAGTAACTGCCGTTAATTTGCCCGACAGAGGTATTAAACAGTAACAGCTGAATGCCAGTCAAAGGCAGCGGTGTTTGCTAGGGAGGTGCCAGAAGACAGCAGTTAGGAGTTTGCAGCAGCCTGGGGTATTGTTCAGAGCCTTCTCATCTCAGCATCACAACTTCACAGTTTCGGGTCTGGTAACGACCCAAAAACACGCGTCTTCACGTGGAAGGCAGAGAGGCATGGCATATGGGGACAACAGTTGGGGGCCACCTTTCAACAAAGAGCGAGATCAGTCCGAGTCGCAGCTGGTTGCTTCACGTTTAGCTCTGCTCTCCTTTGCATGGGTCTCGTGGGCTGCTGTGTCCACGGCATGGGAAAATGGGCAGGTTCGGCTCGCAATTTGGGATTTCTGGAAGGCTCTCTGAGGCTAAAGGAAGTGAAGGAATGTGAGCAATAGTCCTGCAGACATGGCTGGGTTGTCAAAGGAGGGCGAGCACCACACACACGAGGAGGTTTGGGTCAAATTCTGCAGACCTTGACTCATAATTGTGCTGGAGCAGGGACCTACAGATGTGACCTTGTGCTGAAAAAGAGGCGGATAACATTAAGGACAGCACGGGGTAGAGGAGAAAACTTCAAGCGGCAGTAAGTGGCTGCAGGTGCTAGGCTGGGTGTCTCGGACCACTTGCTCTTCCTGCGGAGTTCAGCCAGAGCTGTGGGTGCTCACCCCTCCTGGGAATAAGCCCTGCCTGATGAGGAGGGTGGTTTCTGCCCCACTGGAGAAGGGTAATGAGAGAGCGGGACCTGTTGAGACTGGGCAGGCAACGTGTGGAGGGTTGAAGCCAGACTGGGTCCGGATCGTGGCTGTTGGTGCTCATCTGCCAGGTTGGGCCGTTACGCCATGACTGATCAGCCATCTTCAGGCTTGCATAACTCCGCAGAAAGCCGTGCTTTCTCTCCCGTTTCTGCCTTAGCTCCTCTCCTGCTTTGTGCTGGGCAGAAGGAAGGAGTAGCTGCAAAACTGCACATCTGGGTGAACATTCAGCAGCAGAATCGGCCATCCTTTCCCACCAGTAAGGCTGTTCAACAGAATGAGGGACTCCAGCTCATAATACTCTTGTTGGCTAAAAGACTTTAATAACTTTTACTAATATCAGCACCTTTTTACACAGTGTGTAATTAAATTATGAAACTCCTTCATGTAAGATGTTATGGAGGCCGAAATGATGAATGGATTCAGAAAAGGATTAGGTAAATTCATTTTGGCTATGAAACATGACCGGTCAGATACAACCTCTAGCTTAAAAAGTCCCCAAATCTCCAATTTCAGGCAGTCCTTCCGGGCACACGAAGGTAACGCAGCAGAGGAGTGCGGAGTGGGAAACTGAAAACTGCTGAAACCGACCCAAACGTGTGCGGTGACGGAGAAGTCAGATGTCTGCAATCCAATCTAACTTAAAATGAGATTTAATATATCAGCCAAGAGGATCACCTTTTTTTTTTCTTCAGAATTTGAATTTGCAGCGTGCCGTCAGTCACTGGACTGAAGCAATAACCAAGATTAATACCAGCCCATGTGTGTACGCTTCTACTATGTTGATAATGAAATAAAATTTTCCTTGGTTTATTTGTCTGTCCCTTGAGGAATTCAGTCTTTCAGACCTCTCTTACAGCCAAGACTACTTTTTATAACGTTTATTTATGTTTGCTGGCTGTGAAGCATCTAAATAGTGTTTCATTAAAAAAAGACCTTATATGAGAAAGATCGGAAGCATTGCATGGTATTCGTATTTCTTTAAAGAGAGTACCACTGGCATGCAGACAGGCTGTGGCTCAACATTATATGTTAGCAAAAGGTCATCCATGAAACATTCACCATAACAAAAATAATACTATATAACTAGGAAAACTAGCCCTTAATGCGATTTAAGTTCTTTTGTGATTGATGTATTATTTTGTCTTTCAGTAAACCTTTCTGTTTTCCCTTGAATGCAAGCAAACAGCTTGTTATGTTGAGCTGTCTTCTTTTGCTCTTACACACCCTGCATTTAGCCCCGATACAGGCGTAGGATTCACCAGATTATTTTGCATTAGAAGAGTGCTATCTTTAGCAAGAGCAATTAAAGCAAAGGGGCTGCAGGCCAAAGCGCTACAGCTGTGTAAGGATAGCAGAAGCTGTAGATTAAGCTATATATTAATTACTTGGTTTCCTACTTGGAGCTATGAACAGTGAATTCTTTAATTTTATGTTGCATTTTTAAGGTAGTTTGTGGTTCACTAAACCCAACACATCAGGAGGTTTTGCATGTAGATATTAAAATGGTGGTGCTCAAGGAACTGCTATGGTGTTTTTCAAAACAGCTGAGGCGAGGCGCAGATGCAGATCCAGAGGAAAGGTGCAGAGCAGCTTTTGGGGGTGTTCAGGTCTGTTGCTTTGTGCGAGCTCTGGTGCAGGGTTGCCATGAGCTGGTCTTATTTCCTTTGCACCCCGACCTGTGTTGGTGGATTTGATGTTGTGGGTCTGAACGGAGGTCTTATCTGGGCGGGAAGGTCTCCCCACCTGCTCCCCCCGCCCCCCAGTTTACGGGGGTGCCCGTGCAGCCTCTGTTGCGCACAGGATGCTCTCCAAATTAGGAGGTCTCAGGCCCTGGGGAGCTTCTGCTTTGGAGGGAGCGCCTATCTTTGAACTTACTTGAATTACCCTCATCTGGGGAAATAAGTTACCCTTCATCTCCTTCTCACCTCTCTGAAGCTCCCTGTCCCCTCAGTCACGCTTTTGTGTCCCCTGTTACTGCTGCATATCCTCCCTATGGACTCTCCCGTGGCTGGGGAAGCCTGTAACATCCCCTGGGAGCTGCTGCTAATTTCAAGCCAGACACC